CGTGTCAGTTTGTCCAACTCCTCGTTTAGAACTCATTGTCCGTTAGTCGTAAGCTTCTGATGATCAAACTCCTCAGTATTTCGATCTTCAGTCTGTAATTATGATGGGACTAATAATTAAGGATTATTTCCGCATATGAATTCTTTCTGTATAGTCTCCTTATGAGTGTCCCCTTGGAGCGTATGACTTAAATATCCAAAAAGGGTAGCCGTTCATCCTCATCCACCTCCATTGTGAATTTAATTCTTTCGTCAAGTTGGTTAATGAAATTGAGTAATTCATTTAAATTTTCCTTACCGTGTGACCAAATTGCAAAGTGGTCATCCAAGTATCGCATAAGCACTTTTGGTTGCAGTGGTGACTTCTTGGATTCCCTTTACAAGTTGTCCATGTACACATTTGCCAAAAGAGATGAGAGTGGAGATCCCATCAGTAGTCCAAATATTTGCTCGTAGATAATGCCGTTAAATGTGAAATATGTTGTCATAACTGTTAGGTTTATTAGTCGTGTTAACGACTCCTTCCGTATCCGTTCTACCTCCAGGATATCATCTTCTCGCTCCAAAATCTTCATTAAGGCGCTTATCGCCTTCTCACCTGAAATTTTTGTGTACATGGATTGTACATCGAAACTCATCAACAGCTCCGACCCCACTAACCCAATGTTCTAGATCCTTTGAGAAAATTCATAAGAATTCTTGACGGTATTCAAGAGTCTGTCATTTACTTTCTTGAGCTTCAAGCAAATGAATTTCGCTAGTTTATGCATTGACCATGCTTGTTGTTGACTATTAGTCTTAGCGGATTTCCTTTCTTGTGCATCTTCGGTAGTCCGTAGGCTGTCGGTCGTCTTGCGTCATTTTTGAAGATAGGTTTACAACCTTTGTCCTATCGTCGTCTGTACCAGTTGATGCCTTCAATAGAGAACCATCACAATTTGCCCGGGTTGGCTTGGTCTCGCGTTGTCTTATTATCCCATAGCTCAGAAATTTCTTGTCATGTCGCTTATTTATCAGATCCCGGACAATCTGTGACTTCTGGTCGGTCATGCTCTAGGATTTTTCAAAATCATCCAAAACGAGAAGCCTACCTAAATCCTTCCTTAATCTAGACTTGAGATCTATGAACTTAAATAGCTTACACACGACCACATAAAAGGCCAAACCATCTTGGTCTTCATACCTTCGATTAAATAGCTTACGACTCTCAGTCTCGTAACTTTCCTCTAACTTCTGGATCGAGGCATGTCCGAATGACACTTCCTCATTAGATTGCAGAATCGGGGAACGATACCATAATGTTTGCAACAATTCAA